TTCCTCTTATATAAAGCCTTTAGTTAGGGCTGGATCAGGTGAGTCCTGAACCATCCCTTAGTTATGCTGCTATAGGCCCAGACTGCCCGGGGACTTGATGCACTGAGCTCCTCTCCTCCTCTCCCTCTCTTCCTGCACACATTCATGTCCCATTAATGCATGTTGTTAATGCAACTTCACTTCTTCCCCAGAGTGATTTCTCATCTCGCAGGTTCTCATGAATCCTAGTTGTGTCTGCTGCTGTCTTATTATTATCATCATTATCATCATTCCCCATCATTGTGGCAATTGTCGTTGTTGTCGTCATCATCATTATTAGTCATTTGTACTAGTATAATTGTTGCTATTGTTGTTGCTGTGCACCCTCTGTCTCTGTCCTTCTGTCTTTGTGGGGAATCCAATTTTAGAACAGAGAATAGAGTATGAGTACAAATGATAGCATAGCCCTGCTTTACTATTGTTCTATTATATCACACATTTGAACTATTTTACTGTAGTTTTCTAATTATTCTATTTTCTTGTGCATACACACTACACCCATTTTAAATTAATGTCATTCCATGGAAGTGGTGACCTATTTTTCGGGTCTTTTTTAGACCACACTCACTAACACAGGATGAGTGGTTTCCTGCAGATGTGTGGGCTGTTATTTGTCAAGCCACGACCACCATCACATCATGATACACAAATACAGATGGATCAGAGGAAACAGTGCACAACGGACACACAGGATTTTGTGACACCATGGTCACTGCCGTCTGCCCATAAGATGGTTTCAATGCACTGTGAGAGGTCAGAACAATAATTAGAGAATAGAATATGTGCATCTAAATAGGAGTAGAGAAAATCATCGTTGAGGTATTTGATTACCACAGAAGACAAACTGCGCTTACGGTTTCGTGCAGTGACCAAAACCAAAGCTTCACTAACCTCTGTGCGTCTGTTACTTTTCCACTGGTCTCCCAAAGGGGAGTGTTGCGTACAGCAGGTGTTTCACACACCTCAGTTGTGTGAACAGTTCTTCCTGCTATTGACGACTGCACATCATCCTGACAGGCATGTTTTCTCTTGAGATTTCAACCTGTTACTGGTGCATGTAAGCTACAGTGACATCTTGAGGTCTTTGGGTCTATCCACGTCCTTCACTGTTTTGATTTTCTTCCTCTCTGAACCCTGATATGAAGTCAGGCTTACACAAACTGGAGTAAATCAGAGGCTGGATCATGATTTCTGATTAAATATTGTGGAAAAATCTCTCTTTTTTTATTAATGATTATTCACAGTGACCTCACTGTATGGTTTATCATAGCCTGTATTATTTCTAGGAATACCTAATGTGATTTGATCATATTAACAGACTAATATTGTGCATTGCCTATCACAATTTTCAGAGACCATTTTACTGCACAAGCTACTTTCACTTTAGATACTTTAAGTACATTTTGCTGATAATACTTATAAACTTTTACATAAGGTTTTGAATGCAGGACTTTGCCTGTAGTGTGGTATTTTTTTCAGTGTTGTATTCAGGGTTGGGCAGTAACTCATTACTAGTAATAACATTACAGTAATAAGATTACTTTTCTCAGTAACCATGTAGTCTAACTAATTATTAATACATTTCAGTAATAATATTACAGTTTCTCCTCCCAAAAATAATTAGTTACAATATTANNCCCTCTACTGATTTGAAATCCAACTATTCAGTCACATCCTTGGATTAATTTTTTTGAATCATGGAGGTAATTGGTTTGGCAGCTGGAAATACTCCATTACTTCGATGTATGGATTTTAATCGTCGTTAAGAGAAAGGACACAAATACCTATTTTCTGGGAAGTTGCAGAAAAGTAATATTACTAGTAATGTAACTAATTACTGTTGGCAGGGAGTGATAAGTAAAGTAATTAAATT